AACAAGATTTTAAAAATTGCTTCTGAAAGAGAGCTTTGGAAACAAAAGGAGAGCGACATGCGAATACTCGTGATGGACACGTCCAATATGACCGGGGCCAAGCTTGAAGTGGTTTTGGCGATGAAGGAGGAAGTGAAAAACCGTTACATCAATCGTGGCTAATTTTTATTTTTATTTTTTTCAAGTTTTTAATGGTTTCTTCTATGTTTTTTTTAAGTTGTAGGTTTTATGTTTCTACTTTGTTTTTCTAAATTTTTAGTTTTTTTTTTAATTAAGTAATGTATGGTATTCGTATTTTTAATTAATGAAATATTATGTTTTTAAAATTATGTTTTTTTATTAAAAAAATAAGTTTTATTAAATTAAAATAGTTAACAAAAAAACAAACAAAAAAATAACAAAAAAATAAAATATAAGTAAAACTGTGGCACCACACCCTTGGTGTGGCAAGAAACCACACTTAAGTGGTAAAAAGTGATATGGCGCTTACGTGGCGGGAGAGGAAGTGCGGCTTCGGTGGCACCACTTCCTCCATCCTTATAACTTCTATGAAGTAAGGGAGTTTATTTTTCTCAAAGTGGTACTTTTGACAATTTTCTAAGAGTAAAATACAGTTTTGGTTCCTATGGTTTGGTTAAATTCATATATTCATTTTAATTTTTGAAAATTTGACAAAATGTATCCTTATTGTTTAAAGAAATTACATTGTATATAAAAATACCATTTGATCCTTATTTTTATATATTTCTTTTTCTTATATATATATATATATATATATATATATATATATATATATATATATATATGGAAAAGTTCAATAGAGAACCATAATTATTGGTTTTTCAAGGAACCAAATTTCTTTTTCAATTTCTAGAGCTTATTCTTTATCGAAAAAATATCTAAATTCATATGTTAACATTCTGAATGTGAAAAATATTATTCGGATTCACCGTGTGAATCCGGATTTACGTTGAGAATTTTCAAAAATTCACATTGTGAATTTGACGTAAAAAAAATCGAATTTGATATCATTAAAAAAAGGATAAAAAGTTATGAATTTCTGTATTTTTAGTTTTTTTTTTTTTTTTTTTGATAAAAAATAAGTTGCAAAAGTTGCAAAAAAATTGGATCATTGGTTAATTATAGTTCTATATTGAACCTCCCTATATATATATATATATATATATATATATATATATATATATATATATATATATATATATATATATATATATATAATTGTTTAATTTTTTTATGTTTTGCCGCTTATATTTTATTTTATTTATTTATATTTTTTATGATTTATATATATTTTTTAAATTTTATTCAAATATATTTTTAATGTTTTTTATATTTTGGTCATTTATATTTTCTTGACGTTTTATTTGAATAATTTTTCTAGTTTTTTTTATTTTTTGATGTTTTGTTCAAGTATATCATTTAACACATATAAGGTATATAATTTTTTATTTTAATGGAGTTATTGTATAGGGTAACCCAAATTTAAAACGAATGTCAATGACTTCAAATTAATTTTTTTTAGTTTATAATTTTTTTTATATTTCGTTCCGAATGGAAAATGCTAATCAGAATTCATATACCCAAAAACACATGTGTCAATGTTTTCGAGATCATTTTTTTATTTTTTTATAGAGAGAGAGAGAGAGAGAGAGAGAGAGAGAGAGAGAGAGAGCAACATGAAGGAGAGGTATCTCGATGATGAGGATTAATTTGTAGAGTACACTCAGTATTATAAAAAGAACAAGAAATAGAAAGAAATTTGAAGAGACGTGCAAAGAGAAAGACAAAGACTAACAAAGCTTCAAGACACAGCTAAAGACCTAAAGCTGAGAGTGTTCGGTACGGGTCCAAACGAGATGCAACGCGGGTGAGGTGGCAGCCCTCAACGGCGTTACGACGAGAAGCACACCTCCCCCCAATCTCGTTATGTTGATTTTCGTTGCCCTGGAAACGAATTGTAACACATAAAAGGAATGAAAAAAAAAAAGTAACCGTTGTTATTAGACCGTTTTCAAACGGTCAAATATTAAAAAGAAAAAAAAAACAACTTACCTCTTTATATATATATATATATATATATATATATATATATATATATATATATATATATATATGTGTGTGTAGGTTCAAATGTTTTTCACATCTATTGTGTGCTAGAATGCACCATTAGGAATTAAGTATTAATTATATGTATATTAAATGTTATCCATGCCTATAACTCATTTATATGGAAACGAATTAAATTCGTCATTAATGTCAACAATAATATTCTTTCAGAATAAATTCATATCTAGAAGAATAAGAGTGTATTCCAGCAGAATGAAAGTGTACTTTTAGTAGAATACACTCTCGTTCTTTATATTCAATAAAACTTTATTGTATTTTAAGTGAGTGAACCCTAAAATAAAATATGAACTCATATATAAAACCTAGATGTGAATTCATTCTGAAAGAATGTTATTGATTACATTAATGACGGATTTAATTAGTTTCCAAGAAAATCATAATTATGGATATCATTTAATATGCATATAATTATGGAAATCATTTAATATCTATATTTATTTAATTAAATAATTATTTAATTTACTAAATTCTTATTTGTGCAATCTAGCACACAATAAATGTAAAAAACAAAATAACCTAACCATATATATATATATATATATATATATATATATATATATATATATATATATATATATATATATATATATATATATACTTTATTTCAAAATTTTATAAACATTTCTCTCATTCTCTCTATATCTTAGAAACATATTTTCTTAAAATTTCAAAAAATGGAGCAAAACCCAAACACCCCCCTCCATCATCAAACCCAAACACAACCTTGCCTCTCGGATTTGCAGGGTATGAAAATTATTTTAACTTTTTGTCATCTCAAGGTTCACCACAAATACCATACCAAGGTGCCGCTTTCAATCCCGTTTCACCGCCACTGCAATTTCCCAACTCACCTTACATTCAACAAAATCAATTTGGTCAAAACCCAAATTTACAACAAAATATTTTCTCTACTTTTGGTTTGATGCAACAAACAACCAATCAACCGTTACCTACAACACAACCATCAGTTCAATTGGAAGCTGGAAGTAGTAAGAAAGGGAAAGGGAAAAGAAAATCAAAAGAGAAATCAATAGCAGTAGAAACAGAAATGCAGACGTTCCACAATGGTGGACATCGGAGGAGGAATACGCTTTGACGGCGGATTGGTGTGCTACTTCAAAAAACGAACTTCGCGGAAATGGAATGAAAAAATGAGCTTATTGGGGGGCGGTGCTCGACAAGTTTCACGCTATTTTAAAGAAAATTTTGTATCGCAACAACATGTTGAGCAGCAAATGGGGTTTGATAATTAAGCGGTGCAACAAATTCAACGGTATTTACAACCGACTTGAGGCGCAACAACAAAGCGGAAGCAACGACTTCGATTTGTTCAAATCTGCTAAGGAACAATATCGGATCGAAATGGATCATGTTTTCGACTTTGAAAAATCATTGGAATTGTTGCGAGTGGATCCAAAGTGGAATAAAACGCCTACATCGTCGGAGGTTCAATCCAAACGGTCTCGCAATTCTAGCTTGATCGACGTGTCGGACGCACGGACTAACATCGAACTAAACGCCGATGACGATGAGATCCTGGATGATATCCCCACCACAAAGACCGTCCGGACGCGACAAAGCGAGGCGCGCTGCAAGACATGCGGAGGAAGTGGAGACGAGAGCAAAAGATGCGGCGGAAATGAGAGCCAAATTCGACGAGCATAATTTATTAATAAAAGAAAAAAATGAGTTGAAACGTCGTCATTTGGAGTTCCTGGAAAGGCAGGCACGGGAGAAGCAGGAATAAAAAGAAAAGGTACTAATGACACATCAGTTGTCAATTCTTCGGACAAGCGAGGAGGGTTTAGCGTCTGCTGATCTAGCGGTGCTACAAGCGATGTAGGAACAAATTAGGAAAAAAAAATTTGGGTTAATTAAGATTGGTGTGGTTTTAGTAGTAATTTGAATGGTATTTTAGTTATTAATTTAGGTTTAAAATTATGTTTTTTTAATTGTAATCGGAATTTTAGATTTTAAATATTATGTCTTTTTTTTTGTTCTTAAAATTATATGTTTTATAAAAAAATATATTAGTTATTAAAAAAACACAAAAAGAAAAAAAAAAACGAAAGCCAAAAAAAAAGTAAAAAAAAAAAACGAAATGGTAAAAAAAAATTACAAAAATTAAAATATTTATTTTCAAAAAGTTAGTGTTGCATCTTATTGCATTTTGTTGCCCATTTCTTCAATTGGTGTCATAACATCATTTGCTTAGGTGGCATGGGAGATGGCACGACTAGTTAGTTTCACTATTTAGCCATCAAATAAAAGTGTCTTCAGGGAAGTTACTTGTTGGTGGAGCAACTAGTTAGGTGTTTGTGGGAACGATTGCAAAATATGCATTCTCTCGGTGTCCAAAAAAAAGTAATTGCCATTAGTTGTCCTACAAACCACCTAGCAAATTACCCTTCTACCCCATTAAGCTCTCAATCGCTTAAACATCTCCCATTGACTAAGTTTTCAATTTATGTCGGTTTGCATTCCACTCAAAATACCTGTGGATTTTCCACCTTGGCATCTCCATGACATCATATTGTGTGGTGATTTTTCTCCAAATGTGTAGCAGTAAACAACCTCTAGTTCCAAGATTGGCCATTTTGTTAGTGTCGATAATCATGGGCTTTCTTTTTCTTTATCTTCTACTCTACAACACTTACAAGTACCTAAAGCTAAGGAATTAAGAATTGGCGATGATCCAATAGCAACAATGATGTAAAGGAAGCAAAAACGGTTTTTTTTAAACACAAATAAAAGTTCAATCCACATCAGCAAGCCTAGGTGGCATTTTTACCTCAGAAATGACTTGATTCCGGTAGCAATGGTATATTTAAAAATGAAACATTAGTCTGTTACTTTATGATGGCGTTTTTATAGTTGAAAGATGTTTTTTAATCATTTTAAAAAGTTAGTTACCACCCTTTATGACAATTATCCCAAAGACTAAATTAACTATGAATTTAATGTTACAATGAATTTAATATACAAATTGGTAAAGCATGTAGAAAGGACTACACACAAAAGTGTTCAATTATGCTCATTGTCATCATTGTCTCCTTTCTTCCATGAAATGTGCTTTTGAGAAATCATGAGTAGAGAAGCTTCCTAAAACAAATACCATGTACCAACATTAGCCTTTTTCTGTTCTCCACCAAGTAGACCCATAATGAAAAGTAACGAGGGCGTTCACGTTCACGTCTTTTACACAAACGAGAGATAGAGAAACCTCTATGGCATCTTTATTTTATGGGACAAAAATTGCATTTTTTGTCTGGTTGACATCAGTCTCAGTCTCAGTGATCAATGTCAAAACAATGTCTAAAAGAGCAAGAACAGATAAATATATGCACCAGGGTTCCAGCAATGATAGTGCCATTGAGGGGATGAGTGGCACAAGCAGTAACACGTCCAGACAATGGTATCAACTTGTTTTGCTTACGTGGATGAAAACTCTCCTTCATATCACTACACTCAACAAAGACATATGCATAAATAACCAATCAGTCTTTAACATGTGATTGAAGAGAAAAAAATTTACTTACTCATGATCTACATGGCATGGGGAGTTTCTGTGTGGGTAAAAATCCAATAGGTGAAGCCCATCACTTGAAGATGACCCAACTGCATACATCTGTAAATAGAAATTAAACAAAAATTTATTTATTATCAGGGAAAGTAGTAACAAATATGAAATATCAATTCAACAAAAAGAAAGAATCTCTTACCGAATGTACAGGTAACCATGATGGTTTTCTCGAGAATAAAATACGGATATTATCTGTTTCATCCCTAATTTCATAAACAAATGTAATTTAGAATAAAGACCAAAAAAGAAAGATGTTTTAAAAGAAACATATTCTGGAAAAAATATTAAAATGAAAATAATAAAGTGAGAGTGAGCCAAGAGTCAGACTTACAGCCAATGAGGTGGAGGGCAATGGATATGTGTCACTTGGAAATTATGCAAATCCAAAACACCAGACCTGAATTTACAAAATAAAAACTAACTGACAATAAGTAAAGTGGAATCATATCATCAAAAGTTTATTTAATATTTTAAATAACAAATTTATTTATTTTCTGACTTACCAACCATCATCAAGATGGAAGCCGAGTTGATTCGGACAAGATGGATTAATGTCAATTGACTGTATTTCCTTTGCTACAATATCTGATTGTGCCTGCATCATATATATCAGTTTTTCAACATTAAACTCACTAATATTATATTAAACCAAAAACCAAAGTGACACAATAATTTTTCATACCTTTAGAAGCTCAATCTTATTCAGCATGGATGCTAACTTTAATGATGTCATAGGAGAAGAATGTACCTGTCATTAGAGACAGTTTATATATACAATGAACTTATTTCAACGTTTGAGAATTTTTATAAAATCAAAAAGGATAAAACGATTACAAATATATAAAAGTTGTATAAAGAAGAAAAAGCACCTCCTTGTGACTTTGAAAAGCAGCTGATGATCTTCCACCACGTAGATCCCAAATATATATAAACCCACTCTTACTAGCACCATATACACACTGACAATTAATTTTTTAAGGTAAGTCTTTATAGAATTAAATGGAAAAGTAAAATTTAACAAATGTTTAAACCTATTTACTTGATCTCCATTCAATTGGATGCTTGTAAGGCTGCTATTTGCATTAGTTGTAAGCCCAGTTTGAGGAAGATCACCCACTCTTCTGTCCCATATACTTATTGCTCCACATGTGTCTGAAGCAAGTACCCTATTGAACAAAGATTGAGACATTTAAAAATCATATAATATGATTTTATTTATTAATCAGCATTAGGGTTTTTTCTTTTGTGAACCTTGTGTCATCATTAAACAATGCTACATCAGTTAAACCTTTGCGTATACTGCTACCATGAACAGTAACAGTAGGCCTCTTTCTCAATACCTGCAGATTGATAAACTTGAGATATTGAAGCATCTTAATGTACTTATATTAATGAAGAAATACAAATGAAATATGAATACCTCAACTGGTTCAGAAGAAATATACCCAATATCAAATATATGAACTTCATTATGGCTTAGGGATGTACATGCCACCTGAACAGTATGCAAGTTGAATGATAAGCCAAATTTAGTTACAAACATGTAAAGGAAAAAGAATAAAAAATAAAGAATGAGAAGAAAAGGGAGGGATAACAGACCTCATCCTGATTAACAGGATTCCAACGAACAGCATCAATAGAATTGGATAAAGAAATGTGCAGCAAGTATTTTCCCTCATCTTCTTCTCGGCCTATAACCAAAATAGAGAAAACAATTCATGGTTGAAAGTTAAAATAAATAATCAATTCTTTGATTAAAAACATTAAATTGTAACAAGGATGACACATGTAGTAGAGTTGGTTTTAAAAACTTACGTGGAACTGGTTGATTGCTTTGACAGTATAAAGATTCAAAATCATGAACAGTCAGACACCCTGATCTTGTCACTGATGCCAAATAGATTCCCTGATAGAAACATAATAAATAAACTGATAAGATTTGGCTACTCCTGGTGTTAAATCTGGAAAATGAAAAAAAAAAAAAAAAAAAACATGGTGAAATGAGACCTGAAATGGTATTCACATTTCTAGATATGAGCAAATGATAATAAAGCACACATGATGCTAGTATTTGTCCAGATAATGAAGCTAACAGTGCCTACCTGTCTGTCAAATTCCAAAGCAGACACACCCACCCTGGATGATGATAAAGTAAGAGAGAATATTAGTGGATCTCTCTAACTGAACAAAAAAATTGAAAAGAAGATTGGTGTTCTAGAAATGTAATTAAAAAAACGAAGAAACACAGTAAATTCAGATTTGAATTCGGGATATCACATTGCTATCCATGGCATATGAATGTGTTTAATGGATACTCCTTCGGTCCTTCCATGATTCCACCCCGTTATGTAGATAGATTTCATCAAATGATTAGGCAATATGTGCATAAAGATATAATTACATATCAAACAAAGGCATCAACTAAACACAAAAATAGAATTATGACACTTACCCACTGATGCGGGAACCCTCTGATGCGTATCCAGTGGCTGCGTTTATCTGCCAAAATAAAAACATAGCTATCACCGATAAGCAATTCCCCTTATAATGTATACTCCCTCGTTCCCAGTGAAATTATCAAAATCTTGGTGAATTGAGATTGTTTAACTTGGGACGATGCAGCATTTTTTCCTCAATTTAAATTTAAATGTAAAGGATGCGAACCAAGAACGAGTGATACATGCTGCTGATATGCGTTTTACAAGGTCTTCCTTCAATGTGATACGTGTGAGGAAATGCCCCAATCTCTCAAAATTAGACCAATCTAGGGTTAGTAACTTGGTCAAGTAAAAACACGTTGATAACACACCCAACCAAAATCGACACTTCTTACCTCGGAATATGATTGCATAAGCAGCGGGGAGACATCGTGACAGTAATTGCCTTTAAATTTTCCAGTCAATTCAACTAGACTCCTATTCCACTGCGTCCTTCATTTGGGTGATAAGCAAAACAGCAATTAGCCGAAGATTGAAACAACCACAATCTACTTAGAAGAGCTTACCCCGTTATTGGCTTAAAGTTTTCAGCGATCGCAGCAATAGGAACTGCGTACTTTTCCATGGCGTATTATGTGATATCAATGGAGGCCTCTGAGTGACCGAAGCCAGTAGCAGCGAAACATCTATAAGGTTTCCCGCTTCTATAAGAAAAAAACAAATATTGTAAATCTTCACAGCGCGTCTTTTACAAATAAAAAATAATAATAATATATTTTGATTTGTACCTATTTTTTTTCGTTAGTATTTAATCTTTACGATCGGTTATTCTAAGTAAATTGGAAAAAATGACTTAAAGGTAATATAATTCTTACTTTATACATATTTAGTCTTTGATTTTTTTTTTTTTTTTGCACATTTAGTCCTTAATTTTTTTGTTACAAAATAAATATTTATTGTTTTTGTACACATTCAGTACTTATGATCGTTTTTTTAGGTTTTTCTCATGACATCCAATACAGGACAATCATTAATAAGGTGTTTGGGGTCGTTCATGTTTATGGTCATCGCCCCCGCGACTTAGGTTGCTTAGTTGCTTAGTTTTTGTGTTTTTGGCTTAGGTCTTGTGTTTTGGATGTCGTGACTTCTTCGTACAATCACAAATTTTAACGGTCATTATATCCACACGTTTGTATTTGAGTCTACTACGATTTTTATTTAGATTACTCCCGTTAAAAAACTGTATACTTTTAATTACGATTTTATAAAAATAAAAAATAAAAAGACGTTCATACATGTATTCATAAAGAACGCATGGATGTAAAGATTCTAAGTAAAAAATATATTGCTTTTTAATAGGGATAATCGAAATTATAGTAAACAATACGAATGTTTGGATATAAACATCATTAAATTTTGTGATCGTATGGAGAAATTACGACGTTTAAAATATAAGATATTAGTCAAACCACAATAACTAAGCAACCAAGTAGTCGAGGTCGTGACGGCCACAACCATGAACAACCCCGAACACCTTATTAGTGATTGTACCGTATAGAATAACGTGATAAAACCCTAAAATATCAATCGTAAATATTGAATGTATACAGAAACAACAAATATTTATTTTGCAACAAAAAAAATATTAATGACTAAATGTGAAAAAAAAAATGACTAAATATGTACAAAATGAGAAATATATTACCCTTTTAAGTCATTTTTTCGGCTTATTTGGAGTAATCGGTCATAAAGACTAAATGTGTACGGTTAAACAAGTTGAAGGGTAAATATGGACAAAAAAAAACTCAGTGACTAAGGTGTCGTTGGTTTTTTCGAAGAGAAAATGTCTAAAGTTTGCGGACCACTTCTGCAACCCTCTGTAGCAGAATATGAAGGATCAACCGGCTGCAGCATGTAATAAAAAATATGTCCGTTTTTAACATCTGCAAAATGTTACAATAAGTTAAAGTAATGTGTGAAGAAGCTTGAAGCAGAGGACGTCACGTACAGTATCACAACAATACATAATAGTAAACAAGCAACAACATCATCAATTGCATTAATAGTATAATTCAATACAACTGTGTTCAGTGTAATTATAATAGGACACCAAAAATGAATAATCAGAATAAAGACGAGTCTGAAAATGCTCCGTCTTCTCAAAACCTGTCATTTGTACTTGTCTACTGGTGAGATGAGAATACAAGTTATTTTGAAACAAAGGATCAACATTTAAGCTGATGAATTCATAAGTATTTAGTGTCAAATGTTGAGTAAGTTTGATGAAAAGTGTTTGTAAATGTTTGTAAATAAAGTTTGCTGTAATTGTTTGTAGTAAATGTTTGAATCTCCTAGAAAATCCTATATTTTCTACTAAAATGCAACTTTCTACCAAGATCCGAATGTTCTGAATGTTTGTTTCTTGTAAAAGTGAGTATTTTTCCCAAGAGTAACTATCATTACTAAACTATAGTTATACACTACCGTTTATACGAGAATATCACGATGTGAATGCAATGAGAAATAATAAAGTAATGTAGATTGTATAGGGGAACAAGTCCGAAATTTAGGGTTTTTGTAACATCCCAAAAAAATGACCCAAAATTTTTTTTGTTGAATAATTACTAAAAACACCATAATAAAATCATAAGGTAAACTCGTACGTCAATATCTCACAAACAATAGTAAAGTGTTATAAGTAAACTGAATCAAGAATGTATTAGTCACATCTATGAGAAACAAAACAACTCCCAGGACAACTGATGCTGTGGTGTGTGTGTGTGTGCGATGCCATCAACTCGAGCTCTTCCCTTTGCTTGCGGAAGTACCTGAAACCAAAACTGAAACTGTAAGCACGAAGCTTAGTGAGCTCCCCCAAACTACCACATACCATATAATACATATAATCACATACTGGGCCTTGCCCACTGCATCGGACCAAAGTCCGGAACTAACCAGGGCCTTGCCCTCTGCATCGGATCGGGATCCGGAACTACTGAGGCCTTACCTCCTGCATCGGACCAAAGTCCAGAACTACTGCATCGGACCGAAGTCCGGAACCGACTGCATCGGACAGAAGTCCGGAACATACTGAACATAGCATCACATAAGCATATCAACTAACATGAGTACATACATAGCATACTACATCGGGATGTAACCCGGAACACATAACACAAAATACTGTCTGAGCCACGAAGGCATCAAACATACTAAAATCTGCATCGAACCGAAGTCCGGATACTACTACTAGCTAAACGGGCCGGCATTGTGGCCTTAGATCCGTTCCTACTGAAAGGAAACTCACCTCGTGATCTGGCTGCTGAGTGTGTGGCTCCGGGAACTATCTGCTGCTGCTCCGGTATCTCCCCGGCTACAAATCCACAATTACACTCAATCAAATTATTAATAACGGTATTGGGGTAAATGACTCATTTACCCCTGGCTAAAGTCAACTCTCCTAGTCAAAGTCAACTTTACAGTTGACCTGACTCGCCGAGTTGGGCCGCCAACTCGCCGAGTCCCTACTCTCATTTCTCACCCTACTCGCTGCTACTCGTCAAGTATGGCATCAACTCGACGAGTTCCCTTTCGAATGTAAAACCTCAGGCAATCTGCATCAGACTCGCAGAGCCGTATGAAAAACTCGATGAGTTGTTCCTCGAGCTAAGAAGATTGCCTTGGACTCGCCGAGTTGTATGAACAACTCGCTGAGTCCCTCCATTACTGAGTCTAACCACAACTCACTGAGTCCACTCCATCACTCACTGGTCTCACTCGGCCTCACTCAAAAAGGGAAAAATCGAGGACTCGTGGCTCGACTCGCCGCGTCGTTCTTCCGACTCGCCGAGTCGCTTGCATGCAGCAACTCAAAACTTGATTCTGCTTGAATCCAGTGCATAAAACTTATAGATCAAAACTTGATTCTATCTTTACGTGCCCATATGCATTCATGAAGATAAAATGGCTCAAAAAGCATAATAAAGGCTAGATCTAGGGTTTCCATGAAAAGTATCTTCATAAAGGCAATAGATCTGGGCTCTGAAACTTCTAAATGAATAGATCTAAGGATATCTCGACTTATTAGGGCATCCATACAATCATAAGGCTTGGGAAAAGCATCAACTAGATCTAGAAGAGTCCTAATGGAGGTTTAAAGCATAAAACAAGAGGGAATCCGAAGAATACCTCAAAGAACTCTAATTTGCCCTTGGATCTTTGCACTGCACCTCTTATCCTTGCTCCTTTCTTCTTCTCTTTCTTCAAGCCTTCACAAATCAACACAAGAACACTTAGTTCACTCAAAAATGGATTAGGGTTTTCTCACAGCGTTCTGAGGGTGAAGGAGGCGAGAATGGGGGCTATAAGGTGGATTAAATAGTGAGCAAACCCGAAGATTTAGGGTTTTAACCTGGCAGACCGACTCGTCGAGTCCCGAATATGGACTCGCCGAGTCGCCGATCTATACGCTGATCAACAACGCGACCCTACTCGACGAGTCGGGACATAGACTCGCCGAGTTCCTCCACGAACTTCAAAAATAAATACTAAAAACCACATACCAGAGACGGGTCGTTACAGTTTTGACCCTATGACGCGTACGCCCATTGTACGTGAGGCTCCTCCGAGATCATTCACGCAGAGTACAGTAAGCGTACTCATAGGTACGCACAACGTCCTCAAGGGACCAATTATGCTTAAACGTAAATTCTCGAGGGTTTCAAGACGTACCAGGTTTTGGGTGTTGCATAATCAGACAATTTTATCATGTAATTTCCGAAGATCCATAGCCTAGTACTAGCATGTTGTTTTATCATATCACGAAATCAAATAATCCACAAGGTATTTTGGGTCAATTCGAGAGCTCCGACTGATTGTAACATGCATCCTCCTTTAGTATTTTGAAAACTGTTTGAAAAATCATTTTAAAATCTTGTCATTATTTTGAGACCGGAGACACAAGAATGTTTCCTCCAATCCACTCAAACCAAGACTCTGATATTAACTTGTAACACCCATAAGATTCAAGCAAATTTAAACATTTTAAAACATTAAGTTATTACATTTTTTTTTTCAAAATAGTAGTATCCCCATAATCAAATCATGAAAAATATAATGAGGTGTACGATCACGCATTCACCTTCCCGCGATCTTCAGAAGTATATGAAAATTGAATATCAGAAAAAAGCTGAAAAAATAAAAAGCTAGACTTCGATGGGGAAGCACGACCCATGATTGGGCTTCGCAGATTAAAATATCCAAAATAATGACATTGATTAGGATCAGGAGGTAGGCACAACTCGTACTTGGGAGACATAACCCGCGATTCAGAATCAAAGTTTTAAAAAGCCTAAAAAAATCATAAATCTTTCGATTAAGCTTCGTAAGTGAAGAATGACTTGGGTTTGATGAGACATAGCCCGTATATGGTCTTTTTTTGATGTTTTGGCTCCAGATAAGCTCCATATACGCTCGAAAGACATTTAAACTACCACTCCCTTTCAAATAAACTAAAATAGACACCGAAACATGAGCAATGAAATGATGAGTGGAGTGAGAAAAATGCCCATCAACTCTAAACCGCACGCAGATTACGGTGTTCTAATGTGTGGTTTCAACTCCTTTCACATCTTTGTACAATTTACCCTTCAGCCTAAATAGATCAATAAATTTAGCCTCTTAGATTGGTAGGTGTGGGCAACGCCCACACCGGCGTTATTGGGAAAGACAAA